GTGTGCAAACTGCTCCAGAGCCCCCACCTGTATAGTACCAGAGCCTGGGGCAGTGATGGTGCGAATTTGGCATTCAGGGCAGCCCGATTATACCCGCAGACCTGTGACCCAGGGCGGTCCAGTATAGATGGCCCGTGACCCATTCTCGGTCGGTTCTGCCTACTCAGGACAATGCGGAAAGGCCCGCGGCAGCCCAATCCCAGCTGATAATGAGCCTCGTTAAGCCGCATCCTTCCTATTTATATTTGCCCGATGTATGATCCAGCGGCAGCTTCACTGACTAACCACACTAAGACACACGGATATTCACTCCTAGGTAACTATTTATTTAGAGGGGCTGATTTAGCAAGGCAGGGACTCTGCTGGTGTGACAGGGGCAGACTGACTTGGATAAGCAAAAAATGATAAATCCCTTATTTGTCATTTGCACAAGTACGAGTAGAGCTACACTGGAATTTGTCTCCTCGCCCACCCCACCTTGTACTCCGTAGCTTGGGGGTCACAGCACAGGGCCAGCCAGTGTGCGGCAGCCCTAGAGCTGGGGGGTAAAGGCCCTTGCTGAAGGATCCAGGTACATGTGACTGTTCTGCTGAGTTTGGGTCTTGAACTGGTGATCTTCGGATCACAGGCCGAGGGGTTTACTTGGAGCACCTCTTTCCGCCCTGCAGACCCAACTACGGTCACACAGGGACTTATTCCGGAATTTCTGTGGGTTAACTTGCCGTTGACCAATCAAAATTCTGTTTGCAAATCTGCTACCCGGCATGAGGCCACTGCCAATCCCAAGCTATTTTTTTTTTTTGTGGGAGGGGCTCATCAGCATGGCCTATTCCCAATTCCTGGGCATGAATTTAACATGGGTTACCGGGGTGACAACCATCCGTGGAGAAGCACTCTTAAATAAGTTAGAGGCTGCAGGATCGCCGCAATCTGATCCTCACAGGGCGTGTCTGAGAATTACCCTCCAGTCTGTGACCACAGAGCGTCCCGAACAATAAACACTAAATAAACCTCACGCCTGGACGCAGGCTTTTATTTATAATGGAGTGTGACATCAGGGGACACCGGCCAACTTTTGCACACAGATAGTGCTTGCTGTGGGTCTTTGTAAAAGGCTGCGGAGTCTAATTATTAGTCCCATGGGAATTATGTCCCCGTAGGTGTTTTGCACACCGGCATGTCATTACTCTAACTGGGGAGTAGCGTTTGTGTTGTTACTGGGCTGCCAGTAATCCCAAAGAAAAAACGGTAACGCTTTACATTAACTGCACCTTCATAATGCTTTTATATTGCATTCATAAAATGTTCAATGCACCTTCATAATGTATTCATTAAGTATTGATAAAACATTCTTAAACATCATGTATGTATACCTTAACATCCTAACATGCCTTAACAGCTGTAATATACATTAATAACAAACATTATAATTGTATAATCATGTAATGTTTGTTATTAATGTATATTAAAGCTGTTAAGGGATGTTAGGATATTAAGGTGTACTTGCATGCTGCTTATGAATGTTCTATGAATGCATTATGAATGCATTATGAAGGTGCACTGAATGTTCTATGAATGCATTATGAATGCATTATGAAGGTGCACTGAATGTTCTATGAATGCATAATGAATGCATTATGAAGGTGCACTTAATGTAAAGTGTTACCAAAAAGACATTTGCATTGGCAATCGGGATACTTGTCTGAGATAATTGGCCGTAAACCTCGCCAAAGTCCTGCTTCACCTTTTAGGATGCACTTCACTGAAAAGTACAAAGATTATACCCCATAAAAACGAATAAATTATATTTATTTATAGCTCAGAATAAATTGTTGCCTTCAGAAAGGACACTTCCGCAGGTATACATCACGTTAAAATTACGTTCATCAACACTTTCGCGGTAGTTTATTAATAAAAAATGACGGATGATTTTTGTGAGCATGTCTTTCCATGCTTTAGAATCAGAGAACGTTTCGCTGGGGCGTTTTTGGTCCGTCTCTCTGTAAAAGAAGACATGTTGTGTTCTAGCTGTGGACAGTAGGTGTTTTGTGGATCTGATGGTGAATAAGTGACCCCCTTCCCAGGGCCTCGTGGCCTCACTTTGGTTTTGTGCTTTGAGGTTCCCTCTTTGATCTCACGGGCCCTGCGAGGGCCCATCGAGCCGGTCGCCACGGGACCGTGTGCTCGACTAAGCTCTGAGATACGTGTCTCTTGTCCTGTCCACCTGCAGCTCTCCAGCTGTGGCTGCCGGGTGTTCTCACGCCCCCTTGTGGATCCTTGGAGGATCGCGTCGCCGGAGATGCGGGGGGAGAGTATCCTGGAGCGCCATGACCGCATTGTGATTGGATGTCCCAAAACCTGTGCGCTCAAGGATACCCCTCCCCGGACTTAGTGGCTGGTGTGAGGAGGGGGATGAGCAGCTTGGCGTTGGCCGACGAGAAGGAGAATCACCACGGGGAAAGCGTCTCGATGCCCGGACCCCCTCCTGCGGGTGGCCCGCCAGCCCCTCCCCCGCCCCCACCTCCTCCACCCCCACCCCCAGGGCCGGGCAGCGGAGGCGCCCAGGGGGTGGTGCGCAAGCGGCGACGCGTACGCAGCTTCTTCTGGAAGACCATCCCGGAGGAGAAGGTGCGGGGCAAGCCCAACATCTGGACGATGGCCGTGCGACAGCAGCAGTACCAGATCGACGTGCGCACTGTGGAGGAGCTCTTCGGTCAGCAGGAGGAGACGCGGCAGGGGGGCGCCTCCACCCGCTCTGGCTCCTCCCTCAAAGAATCCAAGGAGGAGGTGAGTCCCATTAGCCTTGAGGCTCGGCGACACAGATTACAGGTGGTGTTGGAGATCTAATGGGGAGCCACCAGGGTAAAATAACCCCTTAGAACCTCCTGAATGTCCTCATACCCTTCCAAGACCATTGTGCTTTGTCTCCTGTGAGGGAAACACATCAGATAAAGGCTTTTGTCTCCTTGCTTCTTCAAACGATAGGTTAAGAGGCAGAAGATCGTCTGTGGACGTGCGTATAGAGAGGAGATCCCTGACAGAAGCCTTTGTCCTGTAAACGTATATCCCTGCGAGAGCTGGACTTGACAGCATCCTCAGCTCTTTGAATGGGCCTGCTAGGGTTACCTGTCAGATCAGTCACCAAACTACCCCACAATGAAAGCTTAAGTCGACCCTTCCAGAGCCTAGAGGATGGAAAGTACCAATTTGCGGACCAGGCGGGGGTGTTTCCTCAGAAGCTGTTCAAACGTTATATGCTAAGTTGCTTTAATGAGCACTAGGTGGGAGGGGGCATAAAGGGGAGAGATGCTAAGCTAACTAGAACGAACCCAGGTTTATTTGAAAAGCAGCCCATAGACGAGATCTGTTGGGAGAGCAGGACCGTATCAATCCGCCTGCGGCCTCCGCCGTATGCAGAGGGTTTGAGAGCATCATGGGATTTGCATGCTTTTTCCATAAGCTCATGTTGCACACACAGATGCCTTGTAAAAATAAACCATTCATCCGATGACCTCTCTGTGCTCCGCAACCTTACATCATCGTTCCTGTGTTTGGAAATAGTTTGTTTTTGAGTGTGTATGCAGCTACCATAAAGTTCATCTCCTGAATCACCCACCTGTTTTTAGGAACCTATGTATCCCGGTTGGGTCACGGGCGAATCGATGGCCATCTTAGAAAGTGCGGGGTGTAGTGAAGGGTTAGCGCGCCCTGCTTGTGTTTGGAAGGTTGTTGGTTCAAATCCCAGGGCCAGCAGAGTGATGTCAAGTTTGTGCCCGTGAGCAAGGTCCTTAACCTCCAGAAACCGCAGGAACTGTTTGACCCTGCTCCCTTAAAAATGCACATCACACTGGATGAAAACCATCTGGTAGATAAATTAAATGTACAACAACCTGTCAAGGTGCCAGTTCCTTGCAAGGATGGCCTACAGCAACCAGTCTTATTTCCTTTATGCTGTGGGAGTGAACAGGTCTTAAGGACAGTGACAGGAATGCCAGGAGGTCTATATAGGCAGTGCGGGGGTCAGGGATCCACCCCTAGAGCCTCACTCTGAGCCACTCTGCCAGCCAGCTAACGTCAGTGTGCTATTGCTCCTGTCATGTGTTTGACAAGGAACAACTAACGTCTTAACACCTGAAATATATCCTGAGCGTCTGTTTAGCCAGTTACCTTCCTGTTGCCCCTATGTAGCTGCAGACTGGCGACTCTGCGTTACCATAACACCTCACCTGTGCATTCCCATGACACAGCATAGCCGCGAAGATTATGATGATGTCATTGCGTAAACAATGGTCGTCACGGTGATGAACAACCCCGCCCCCCCCTTACTGAACACCAAATATGGCATATAGACAGTGTGTCAGACAGGAAGGAAACAAGAGTGGATAGTGTCTAGGTAAGCTAATCTGACTTAGTCGAGCTTGCTTGAAAACTGCTGAAGATGCCCTTGAAATGCTGATTAAGTGTGAAAAGTTCACCAGCTCGAGTTCAGGTACACAAACGGCTTTTGAATGAGCTTCTCTGTCTGGATGTCAACACGGTTGGCAGCGTCCATCCATACAAAAACAGGGACGCCAGGCTGACTGAGAATTTCCCCTTTTCTGTTTGCACTTTCAGATCAGCATCCTGGACTCCAAGAGAGGGATGAACGTGGGCATTTTCCTCAAGCAGTTCAAGAAGTAAGTCTTCTCGTCCACACGTGTGGCTGAAACCGGGTGGGGGGGGGAGGTCAGAGCTGCAGGTCTGATGGTTAACACTCGTTGGGCAGGTGCAGAGCAGTGTATTCTGGGAATCGGCTGCGAGTGAGATTCACCCTCTTTGCTATGTGCAGAATGTGTCACACTTGTATTTCTATGACCCTGGATCGGTCGTTGTCACGCCCTGGTCGTCGCGCGTGCGGACATCTGCAGGTGGCATGTCATGGGGGGGGGGCACCAGTGTGCCCAGGGAGCGTGGCCACCTGCTCGTCAGACTCCCCAGGACTTCGGCAAGTCGTGCTGTTTTTGCGTCACCCTCCAAGGCGTTCTTGGCCGCTGCTGATGAAGCTGATTGGCCCCACACTGTTATCACACTGTTCTCTGGTGACGCTGAAATAGGAATGTGAACCGGAAACTCGAACCAGAGTATGAACTGTCTACAGTGCAGAATGACCGCGCTACAAAGACCTAAACCAGAGGTGGAAATTTCAGGTCCAGAAAGTAAAACTCCAGACCAAGATTTCATTTTGTCCAACCAGTTGAGTACTCCGTGACTATGACTCTTTATAGTCAAGTAGTTGGTTGAAATAAAATATTGGTCTGGATTTTTACTCTCTGGACCTGAAATTTCCACCTTTGCCCAGAACCAATGAGAATGTGTAAACATTTAACCCCCTTGTTTGTTCACCATCCTGTGAGAAAAAATTATCGGCAATGTGAGAATTATTTGTACTGTTCCCTCACACTTCCAGGGGTGGGGGGTTCTAATCCCACCCCCGTGCCTGTTTTCTCCTGCAGTCCAAAGACAAGCGGTTTCCCAAAATGGCATCTCTAAATCGCCAGCATCACTTTTCTTGACGGGGCACAAATATTTAGTATAATAACTATTACTATTGAAGTACAAATCCTGAACAAATATACTGGCCTCTTGGGATAAAAGATTAATCACGATTCATTAATGATGAACAAACATGAGATCAGTATTTCACTTGTGTTATTCATGACTTGTTCCTTTTAGTTCACTTACAGTAGTTCACAAAGGTTTACAGAATCAACAGATATAGTAACAAATATATTTGTGCTTTGGATAAAAGATGTGTCACGATTCATTATGAACGAACATGAGATCAGTATGTAACTAAAACTCTGTGGTTAATTAATATATAAGTAATAGCATAATGCGACATTATTTGTGGTTAATTAACATATAAGTAATAGCATAATGCTACATTATTTATGGTTAATTAATATATAAGTAATAGCATAATGCTACATTATTTGTGGTTAATTAATATATAAGTAATAGCATAATGCTACATTATTTGTGGTTAATTAATATATAAGTAATAGCATAATGCTACATTATTTACAAATCTACAA